CCTCGTGACTAGCCCCACTTGGCCCGACTAGTGCGGTCGGACCGGCCAAGGGGGTGGGAGAAATCTCGAGTTGAGTACTTAGGCGAGTTTTGCGTATGGCCCAAGCCTCGAGTCCCGACCACCACGATAGTCATCTGGGAGAGACAGAGGATGGCGTAGTTGGAACGTCATAACCCTCGGGGTCGGAGAACGTCGCCTTGACTTCCTCGCGATGGAGTTTGGCAGCAAATTCAGACTCCGCCACCACAGCCTCCCATGCTGCGAAAGTATGCTCGAAATATTGGAGGGTGGCGGGGCAGAGCTTGTTGAGGAAAGCAGGGGAATTGCAGAAGGCTTTGACAACCTCTTGGCGATAAGTCTCGAGAAAGATAGCGCCCACAGGGGACTTCAAGAAGGTCCTGCATCCCTCCTTGATGCCATTCTCTCTCTCGACTATGCATTCATCACGGGCCTTTTTGAGGTCGCCCTTAAGCTTGTCATTCAAATGCCGAGCCACGGCCTTGTCGGCTTTCAGCTTGTCGACAAGGGCTTTCGAGGCCTCCATGTCCTCTTTCAGCGCCTCGATTTCTTGGCGCTGAGCCTCACACTTGTCCTCGAGGGACTTGGTGAAGACGACAGGAGCTTTACTCTTCTCCTCGAGGCAAAGAAGCACCACAGCAAGAAACTGAAAAACATAACAGACGATAAGTAAAGTAAGAAGAAAAGGAGATGACAATGTCGACTAGGAAATGAGAAATACCCGAGAGAGACAGAGGACGGCGTAGTTGGAGCGCTCATAAGTGTTGCCCTCGACACGCTCTTTGTCGACCTCGGGGATGAGGGAGTTGAAATACTTAGCCACCTGGTGGCGCTTGGGGTGATTCCACAGTCGGGAGGGCATACCGACTGTCACCTCCTTGACAGTGACGGAAGAGGGGGGAGCTTTCTTACCTTCTTTTCTTTTCCCTTGTCGACCTTGCGGCGTTTCAGGTCGTCGGGAATCGAGACAACAGCCCGGTCATCCTGGGCTCTTTTCTGGGAACCAGAGCCCGATGATTTGTGTTGTCTGGCAGCACTAGGGTTCTCGACCCTAGATTTCTTTGCAGCAGTCGTCTCGGCTGCTGCGGCGGCAGGCCTCGACCCAGACCCACTCGCGGGCCGAGGAGGAGGGACGAATCTACCAGCCGAATTCTCGGTCGGTTGCTTCTTTTTCACCTCAAAGCGTTTGAGTGCCTTAACTGAAACGAAATAAGAGTGTTAGCAATCGAACGACAGATAGTTAGTCTGTACCAATAATATCTAAGAACCTAAAGGGAATACCTCGAGGAATGAGGTCGAGGTGAGGAGAACTCCCTCGAGAGGGACTTTTCGAGACATCTACCAAGCCACCCTCTAAAAGGGCTCGGTCGTATTCAGCCCAGTCGACTCTTGAAACAGAACCATGAGAAGAGGAGGTCGATGACTTGGCAGCCATTTTGAACCCGACAACTTGCATTGAGTCGAACGATTGATAACCAGTGTCGATCAGGCCCTCGACTATGTCAGGAGAAGAGTCGAAGAAAAAAAAAAAGAAAAAAAAAAAAAATAGGAAAAGAGGTTGGAATTAGCAAAGTCTTGAGCTAACACACTGGATATAAGGAACAAAGTCAACATTCTAAAGTCGCCAGAAGACGACTCGACTTCCGTCGATGTCAAAAGAAACAGGGAAGTCACGAACTATGACATTTAGTCAACTTGACGTAGATAAATTAGTAAGTCGACATAAGTCGGCTCAAGAAGGGAAGAGGAGAAGAAAGAAGGCCGCTGAGTCGATAGGAATCAACTCAGCAAAAGGCAAGAGTCGACTTCATACCAAAAGTCGACGACCAACAAGACGCAAACAAAAAATCCAAGAAAAGCATGTGCACAAAAGATTCAACACAAAGTTTATAAGAAAAAGCTTGAAAAACACGAAGGTTTCTAAAAAATTGAAGTTATTTATATGCGGTGGTGATAGATGCTGACCGTTAGATCAGCAAAGGATCTGATGGCCCTGATGAAGCACAGAATTCGAAGAGTCGCCGATTGAGACGACGCGTATCACTTTAGGGTTTCTTCTTGAAATTTGAAATTTGAAAAGTTGTCAGAATGTCAGGCTTATACAGAGAAGTAATCATGAAAGAATGAGAGGTACCCCGGCCAGATGACGAGACGAGTTACCTACACGATGAGTGAAAGTGGATGTCGCGATTTAAATAAGACGAGTACGTTACTCAACCACCAAATTTACTCTTAAGCATTTGACTGCTTAGAGTAATTTTTTTGGGGGGAGAACTAGATGATGTAGCCATATTATGATAGACTGGTCCAAGGAACTTCCACTCGACTGGACGACCGACTGGCAAGATCGATCACGCGTCGACATACTCCAGTCGACATGCTTAAGTCGACTTAAGCAATGTCAACTCTTCACGAGATATGGAGAAAAGCTGAATCCAAAGTCAACTTCACGTAGTCGACTCCAGTAAGTCGATTTCCATTTAAGAAGACTAACAAAATGCAGCCTCCGAATATGTGGAAAATCCCAAGTCGACCTCTTGGCACTCGAGGTCGACTCCTCGCATCTCGAGACGAGAAACATACTGACGACTCAACACACATGAGACATTTATGGGAACCTCTTGTCCTCCTATGGATAAGAAGGAATCTTGTCATGACTCAGCAAGGAGGGGAGACAAATCGACCGGGACAATTTAGATCTTTCAGGTCCACCGACTGGGGCATTTTGGGTACTTCAAGTAAGTGTTCACTCCTATATAAAGGAAATGAGGTAATCCTAAACCCTAACTTCCATTCATTCTATACTCTCCTCCATAGCTGTTGCTGCTCTCTCAGAGCAGCCTCTCTTCATCTCTGTCACATACTGACTTGAACGTCGGAGGCTCTACACCGGAAACACTTCCGGCGTTGAGTTCTTGCAGGTGTTGTTGCGGTCTAGCAACGGTTCGAAGGCGATTCAAGCAGATCTGAGCTCAAAACCACCGGTTCTCTTCAGATCCAGTCATCCAGAAGTAGACCCATCAACTACTATGAAAGTAAAAAATTATCTCAAATGCACAATGTAGTCTAACTACCGTATTATCTACTTACCAAATATTAAAAATTTAATAATATGTAGTAAGAAAATTAATTAAATAATTAAATAATTAAGAATTGGTAAGAATAAATCTCTCTCTTCTCTTCATTGGTTAGTTAAAGTGTGGAGGAGAATGTGGATGAACCACATTCTTTTCTAGATATTAATTATGTCCACATCACCACAAACATTTGTGATCACATTGTATACTGGATGATGAAAAGTTGTGACATTGCTAAATGTGTTGATGTGAAATGTAATTTACCACAACTACATTTGAGCATTGGAGATACTCTGATACTGCAAATGAAAAAAAAAGAAGATCAAGCAAATATTGAAATGTTTTACTTTATGCTCTTTAGTGGTAATCAAACTATTTGATTTAATTAATTTTAAATTAAAATATATTTTGATTGAAAGACTGTTGGGATTGTATAATTAATACCGATATGGTATATTATATTAAACCGGCTTTAATGGATAAGAAGGAATGTATTGGAGAATAAGTACACATATGGTCTAGGACACGTAGCATAATGGTATGGGTCAAACCCAACTTGGGAACTAAGGTACACTTCCCCTATAAAAAGGGGCTAAGGTATCCCAAAACCTCTCCCTCTCTACATTGATTATTATACTCTTGAGAATTGAGTTTGGAGTGATATTGACTTAAGCATCGAAGGCCCGACGTCGGGACCCCTCCCCGGGTTGGTTCTTGCAGGTAAGGAGGTCGTTCGAATTGAAGGAGCTCAGGTGAAGTCCATTTCACCAACAAATACACAGTGTTTAAATTACACTATATTGTCCTTATAGTGATACTATTGTGAATGAATTATAATTGAAATGTGTTCCACAACATGGATTATGATATAGGATATAGTACCAGTTCAAATCTCCAGTTAAACCAAGCGACCAGACCGGGTTAATGGAGCAGCTCGCCTCACGTCGACTTGAAAGTAATAATTGAACCAACGATTGCCTACTGAGAAGGGAGCGCAACTAGTAGATAAGCCCACAGTCGGCTTGACCTCAGGAGGTCAGGAGGTCGAGTCGACCAAGTTCTACCTTACTGATAGATGGTTGGGGAGGACCATGTTCTACCAAAACTAATGTTCTACCTGGTGACGTGGATTTGGTCTCATAGAGGAACAAAAAGGCATCTAACTGAGAAATCATACCATACGAGGATTGGACCACGTGTCATGATAAGGTTGGGTCGTCTGCACCCCGTGACATCTGACAGTCTGTGGCGCTGCAGGTCATACGAACGGACATTAAATCAACCGACCTTGCTTAGTGGCAATTGAGTCAACTCTCTGGGCAGACTTGAGAAACAAGACACTACCCACCGATAGGTAATGGGTTCGAGTGACCGAGAAAGAGAAGTGAGAACACTATTGATCCTTTTTTTTAAAAAAAAAAAAAAAATACTTCGGCCGAATTTTAGTGCGGTTAAAAATAATTAAAATGATGCTTGCATGGAATTTCACTAGGCGAATTTAACTACTGAGGCGTAGCATGACAAAAGGCAAGGCATCCGTAGCCGAAAGGAGTCAGATAATACAACCCAAAATAGAATTCCAATATTTCTAATTTACACATTTGCTAGGAAAACAATCATATCAACTCTCAGGGACACAAATAAATGTATAAATCACTTTTTATATGTTGGGGGCAATGCAAAACTAGAATTAGTAGAAGAAAACATCAAGGAACCACGCCCAAAAAATTTCCACTCATCTTTAATCCAAAAGCGTCTAAAAGTTGGACTTTCAGTTCATACAAAGAATACAGACTATTGTTTGTTGGTAATACACTATGACATAAACAAAGAATGGTACATAAGTTATACAGTATATCAAAGCCTATATCTTACAGGCTCAATCTCAATTATAAGACAAAATAAAAAGAAAAAGAAAAAGAAAAACAACTCAATATGTGATTTCAAGGAAAAAGAAAGAAAAACAAACAGAAGGAATAAAAAAGTCGACTTTGAACACTATCAGCAAATTTCACGAAAACTACAAGTTCAAGTTCACGATCCAAGGATTGCCCTTCACTTAAAATGATCTGGTTGTATAATTGCCACATATTCGGAACACAATTCATCGTTGTCTTTCTGTTTCCATATCTCACCATTTGCATGGACGAGCCATGATATTTGAGGAAGTGCCGTGTAATCTGCTGAAAGAAAATGCTAAAACCATGTAACCCAAACAGTAGTGCTAAACAACGAAAAATATCGATTCATAAGATTTTATATAAAAATGGCTTTGGCAATATCCACAGAAAACCCGAAAAAGGTTCTGATAAAATTACAGAACCTTTCTGAACATCTAGTGTAAGTCAAACCTCAAGGGTAGTTTTCATAATTTCCTAGAAGGAGATAAAGGACGTTACCTGATGATAGCTGCTTTTCGGGGTCTCTTGTACTGTGCAACACCATTGTACCCGAAAGCACAGTTACGAATCCACAGAGAACTGAAACAATGCTACTAGTACTCTGACCAGACCAATCCTAGAGAGTTTTACAAGAATTTAGAGTCTCAGCACATACAGAGAGTAAAACCACTAAAACCCAGACCATTCTTAAATACCTTAAACATTATGGCACTTGCAAGGATCGTGAGCGATGTGAACATTGCGTAATAGATTGGAGATACTACAGCAGTGTTAAACGTGTCCAGGGCCTGAAGAAAAAATTAGCGTAACTTGAATATCTATCCAGATAAAGAGCTTGATGGATGGAAATAATGCAGTTCGGTATTTCAAACTCAGAAATTCCAAGTGAGTAAAAATAAGCGTGTTTTTGTAAAGAGGTACTGGAATTTCAAATAGGGCGAATGGAAGCAAACCTTGTTTAAGTAGATTAATTGAGTGGCAATGCAAGTAACCGCAACCATTGCAAATACCCAGGACTTGAAATGGGCAACCTGGTTATAACCCTCCAGAGTGAGTTTTATGGCAATACCTATTGCTTTGATGCTCATGACCTGCAATGAATCTAAAATATTGTTATCCAGTGACCAAAAACACAATTTACCTAGCAACACTAGCTAGTTAGCTACATACTTTTTCAAGACTCAATCCCCAGATGTTACACAGTTCTACTATCCATGAAGCTTTTTCTACTGAGGATGATATCAAAATGTAATGTGATAGAGATGGATCCATAATCATCATTTTTTCACAGTTCACTTCCTTTTAAAAATAAAAATAAACTAACCTTTTGACTACCAACTGAAAAATCAGGAACCTGAGCAGCCTAGATGAAACTGTCTTTATATTCAAGTAGACAAGGATATGTACTTACTGTTATAGATCCAATTACAGAACAAACACCGATATAAACCATGATGTTTGTCTGCCCATACCGCGGTTCACAATACAACACAAGTACCAAGACCACTGCTGCTATTGAAGCCATGTACATAAGAAAAGCTGGACCAAGAATATACAAACAGGTTAGCAATACTTTTCTACTTTTCATCCTACAGAACAATTAAGGGAATTAATACTACTATCACATCAAGTATGAGGGCTGACCAGGCTGTACGGCTAGTTCCCAGATTTCCTCTACTGAGCTAATACTGTGTTCGCCAGGTGCATGAAGCACAATGACTGTACTACCCACGACGCACAACATGCATCCCAATATTCCTAACTTCCGCAATTTCTCTTTGAGTAAGAAATGAGCTAAAACAGCACTGACAACAAATTATGCAACAAAAAATACATATTTATACTTCATAATATACTGCCAATTAGTTATGGAGTAGAAGGAAGAGAGATGAACAAATTGAGATTTACCTGACAATTATACTTAATGCTCCAAGTGGTGTTACAAGGACAGCAGGAGCATACATGTAAGCAACAAAATTGGCAAACTCCCCAATGACCACTGAGATGAACCAAAGTTAAATTTTGAATTTATAAAATTTCAGTTCTCAAATAAGCAGACTTACTGGTAATCATTCCAATCCACCAAAGTGGTTCTAGCAAATATCCATATCCTCCTGAACCTTCATTTAATACAAAGTGTAATATTAGAAATAAATTTTGATCAGTGGCTAATGTTATCTCCATAGAAAAGTTGCACCACATGTAAGTTCCACCATAAACATTCTCCTTAATAGTCCATCTCCCTAGCATAACTTAAGAGGGAACCATACATAGTATTTCCAATCAAACCGCAACACATCAATATGAATACTTGAGTACCTAACTAATTTATAACCTGATGACTGCAAGGCACACAAAATCAATCTAAAAATATTTAACTCTTATAGATCCTATATACACCAACAACCCCAGAATGTCTTACCGACTTGAAGCATGAGCCTTTTCCTCAACAACTTGGATCATGGTCTCACTTTCATTCCCATTTATTACACTTTCTTTTCGCTCAATTTTCACCAATTATGTTTCTATCCAGAAGTTCATATCAGCTAGCGTACAACCACTTTACAGCTACAAGTGACTTTTCAATTTCCTAAAACACTAGTAAATCACCAAAATTTGCATAAAACAGTACAAGAGTAAACATTAATTAAATTCCAACATTAACAGCATCTTGTCCCAAAAAATAATTACAAGCCCAGACAAGGGGGACACACACACACACACACACATCCATCATTAAATCACAACATTAACACAGCTACCCAATTACCCATAAAGAAAAAAGGCCAATAACGAAAACTTACCAGCACGGGAACCAGCCGCACCGGCTCTCTGCAAACCCTTCTTTTTTATGATGAAGCTCGACCCAATAAACGCGCTCGAGCCCACCGCCAATCCGAACCCGATTAGATTGGCCTTATACATAACCCTACCCTATCAAAATCCGACAACAACCTTGGTCGAGATGCCCCAGGAGCTTAATTTTCATCTGCTCCTGGCCCTTTCCCAATATAAGGGATGAAAAAGATGCAGGAAAGTCGGGATTTTGACGAAGTGATGAGGATGATTTGGAATTTTAGGGTTTCGAATTTGGGGAAGACCTCATTAACGTCTGTATGCGCATAACGTGGTTGATTTCTCTTCATCAACTGGTCAAACAAATGAGATACGGTTGAATAGAGTATATTTATAAGCTGAACCGCAGTGGGGCCCACGAGCCTGGAATTGGAGGGAATTTCTTGAAGGTATATCCTAATATGTAATTTGTGTTTCGGCCGAAAAATTTGAAATCCATACAGAATGAGTGGGTTTAATAGGATTGAACTTGATCTTTCAAATTTGTACTGAAAAATTTATATTTTTACTAAAAGTTCAAAAAAACTGAAAAGAAATCTAAAATTCTTTAATTTGTATGTGATATCTAAATTGGAATGTAAACAATTAAATACTTCCATATTATCATAATAATTATAAATAAAAATATTAAATATTAATTATAACTGGTATTTAATCTTGTACGCTCGCACAATTGTAAACAAAATATTATGACTCATATACATGGGTATTATATTTAAATTATATAATGCGAATTACACATTTCATAAACTAGTATGAATCCCGTTGCAGTGCACGAGTAAGAGATGTTTATTAATATTTATAAATTAAAAATTTTTATTAAATAATATTTATAAATTAAAAATATAGAATTAATATATAATACAGTTTACCTATATTAATTTATTGAAAATGTTATATAAAGTTTAATTTGTACAAAATTACATAAAAATTTCTATTTAAAATTAATACACAACCTGTGCGGTGCACATAACTGACCATAAATTACATTATATTCGTTTCAAAATAAGTGTCATTTCAAAAATTTTATTCAGAAATTCAATTTGACTATAATGTGATTTCATAAAATTGTTAGTTTGGTAAAATTTTATCATATATTTAACAACCTATGTGAATAATAAGTATAATATAAAATTTTTATTGTTTTATTAATTAAAATAAATTTATTTTTGTATAAACTATTCAAATCAAAGAATTTAAGTAGTCGAGTAATTTATTAACCTATAAATAATTGACTATTTCGTTTACGTCGAAGTTAATATTGTCCCGTAAGTTATGACTAATTATTTTTTTGATTTTATTTAAAATAAAATCCTTTTTTTCAATATATTATATACCAAATTTAAACCATGCAACTAATAAAGGAAATAGTTGCAAGTTTTGTCAATAAATTATATAACAAATTTAAATCATTCAACTAATAAAAGTAATAGCCGCAATATTTGACCAAAATTATTCTATACATTAATTTAGGCGGGATTTTTTAAATTTTGGCCGAAAAAATTATCCAGTTTTGTAAATCTGAATTTTTAGGCGGGAAACCAAATGTTTTTTTATTGATTTTTAGTTACTATTTCAAGAAAATATCATTGCCTCTTTATATATTAATAGATTTATTAATTAATAAAAATAAAAAATATAATTATAAATTATTTTACTTATGTATGAGTTACTATATAGAGTACATAGGATCCTGACCAACTAATTAGTTAAAAAAATATTAAATTATTATTATTATTATTATTATTATTATTATTATTATTAGATCGTCTATTAAGGAGGACTAAAAGATAAGATGGATATTATGGAGATAAGAACCCCACGTGGGAAGAAATACCTGGCATAACAGAATTTGGCAGCTTGGGTAGCTAGGATTGTACCAACGTGCAACCCATCCGGGCAGTCTTAGGCAGCAAGGTATCATTTCCCTGTATAAGGGAGTGAGGTATGTCATGTATTACATTACACTCTACATACATTTTCATACTATACTTCATCTTTTACAAGTATTAACTAAAGCTTCGGAGGCTCTTTACGGGAAAACCCCACCGGTGTGAGAGTTCTGCAGGTCTAAGGGCGTTTAACCGGCGGAGGAGCTCGAGATCAGGCCGATTCCAGTCGATCGAAGGTCTTTGACGTACCATTTGGCACCGTCTATGGGAATTTCATTCGAAAAGCCAACAAACATCATAGCCATGGAGGGCGAGATTCCCAAGAAAACTTGAAGCACACTTTCGATGACGTGTGGCCGAACACGCGTCCGTTTGGAGCAGACCCACCACCGAGCTTATCCAGACCTTCTCAGACCCTGATTAACTCGATGCCTCTTCCTACAGGCGTAGGGAGCTCATCAGCGGTTCTAGCAACCATCGCAAGTTCGAGCAACCCCTAGGAGGCTCAAGCGGTACATGGAGCGTTAGTTCTAGCATAGGTGCAGCCAGATCCAGTCCAGCCACCACCAGCTGGGCCGTCGAGGAGTGAGGCCGACCAAGGACAACTCGTGACAATGTCCAAGGAGGAGTTGGAGAGGATGATAGCCAACGCGGTCGCAGTCGGAGCACTGCAGCAGACTACACACATGACTTCACACTTCAGATGTTTTGATAATGGATTGATATAGCCACATAAGGATAACCCGGTCCATAGGCTACTTACCCGACCAGTGAACCGCTCGAACCACTCGCATATCGACATGACCCCGTCGACATGCTCAGGTCGACTTCCATAAGTCGACTCTACAAAGAGTGACCGAGAAGGGGCAGAAATCTGTCCAGTCGACTCTCACAAGTCGACCTCATTCTGTCGACTTCCATTAGTTGACATCTGTATAAGAAGAACAACAAGAGCATAGCTCCTAAGCATCCATATACTCTAAGTCGACTCCCAGTAGCCGACTTCACTAAGACGATTCTCTGAAGACGACTTCCACTCGAGGGAACTAACCAAGCGTAGCCTCCGAATCCTCATATGATCACAAGTCGACCTCCTAGCTCTCGAGGTCGACTCTGTATATCTCGAAGAATAAAGATGTGATGACGACTCACCACACCTGCAACATACTTAAAGCTCTACATATTCCAAAGGATAAGAAGGAATCTTGTGATGACTCAGCAGCAAGGGGAGACGAACCGACCGGGGCATTTTGGACCTTTTAGGTCCACCGACTTGGGCATTCTGGGTACTTCAAGTAAGTATTCACTCCTATATAAAGGAGGTGCAGTAACCCCAAAACCCTAACCTCTACTCATTCTATACACTTTTCATCTCTCTGTTGCTGCTGCTCTCTGAGAGCAGCTCTCTCCCCCACATTCTACACAATTCTACATGTATTACAGCTCTACATTTCATCTTCCTCTCCTCTGTTTATTGACTTGAGCGTCGGAGGCCCGACGCCGGGACCTCTCCCGGCGTTGGGTTCTTGCAGGTGTTTGCGGCGGTCTAGCAACGATTTTAAGGCGGTTCAAACAGATCGGAGCTCACAACAACCGGTTTTCTCCAGATCTGGAAGTAGACCCATCATGGATGATTGCAGTTTTCTTTAATATTGGTCATCTTGGGAATTTTGAGACTTTGTGGTTAATGACTTATTAATGTGTTGGAAGTTTCTTTAGTTGTTTATTTAAATCTATTTAATGTTTCCTCAGCAAAAATCACATACATTTTGGCTAGATGAACACGACTCTTGTTCAGTTATTTGATGGTTTTCAAACAACACAAACAGGATTTTTTAAAATAATAATAATAATAATAATAATAATAATAATAATAATAATAATAATAATAATAATAATAATAAGTTGGCGGGCCATTCCTGCCTAACCCGCGGCCTGAGGCGGGGTGGGTTAGGCCTGCCCGCCCCGCCGACCCATTTTGACAGCACGATAATGCCCTGGTGATCACGGCAGAGGTCGCATGATATGACGTGAAAAGGGTCTTTATCGATACATAGAGCTGGGTAGACGTCATGTTATATGATTGTTTTAGACAGTTGAATCTGAATGTCGAGCTGAAGGAAGTGGTCACGTCTTTGTACGACGAGGTGACCTTACCAGTAGTCTTGGGGACAAGTTCAACCCGAAAAATGAAAATGGTGAGATTCGTGGTGGTCAGAGCGGAGTTGTCGTACAATATCATTTTTGGGAGGACGAGCCTGAATGCCTTCTAGGCAATGGTGTCGACATACCATATGACCATTAAGTATCCAGTGAGCGAGAAGGTTGGGGAGGTCGTAGATGACCAGCTGACATCGAGGACGTGCTACCAACCAACCGTATGAGTGAATAGACAAAATACACAGAGGTTGCGGAACACGTGGTTGAGATCCAGTTCCCTGAGTGGCTATTTAATACTGTGATGGTTTCTAAGTCTGAGGGTAAGTGAAGGATGTGTATCGATTTTTGAGATCTTAACAAAGCATGCCCTAAAGACCTTTATCCCTTATCGAGGATCGACCAGCTGGTCGACTCTACGACGGGGTCCGAGTTGCTGAGATTGATGGATGCCTCACAAAGCTATCACTAGAATCCTCTGGGGAAGGAGGACATGAAGAGAGTTAGCTTCGTGACGAGTAGAGAGACATACTGTTATGTGGTCGTACCTTTCGACCTTAAGAATGCAGGTGCAACCTACCAGCAGTTGGTCGATAAGATTTTGAATGAACAATTGGGTCGAATTATGGAGGTCTACGTTGACGATATACTAGTGACGAGCATAGTGGAGGCTGACCACTTAGCAGATTTGAGAAAGACCTTTACTATTCTAAGGAGGTATGTGAAGAAATTGAATCCAGCCAAGTGCTCGTTCGAGGTGAAATCGGGGAAGTTTCCAGAAAAAGTTCATGTTGTGCTGGAGATGCGACCACCGCAGAACGTGAAAGAGGTACAAATTTTGATTGGTCAAATTGGGAGTTTAAGCAGATTCATTTTGAAAGTAGTCGAGAAGAGCATCCCACTGTTCAAAACGTTGAAGAAAAGCTTGAAAATTAAATGGACGGAGGACGCGCATAAGGCTTTCGAGGAACTGCAAGTCATTCTGGCCGACCTACCCTTATTGGCCAAGCCAGTGCAAGGGGAAGACTTGGTGTTGTATGTTTCGATCGGGGCGACAATTGTGTGTTCGGTCCTGTTGAGGGAGGAAGGAATGGCGCAATATCCTATCTAATACGTAAGTCGAGTGATGCAGTGTGTTGAGTTGAGGTATTTGGAGATCGAGAAAGGAGCATTGGTTGTGGTTGTAACCATAAGAAAAATTGAGGCCGTATTTTTTTACCCACAAGGTGAAAGTAAAGACGAACATGTCGCTTAGAGAGACCTTGGGTCAACCTTAGATTTTAGGTCGAATGGTAAAATGAAAAATTAGCCTGAGCGATTACTCTTTAGTCTATGAGCCTCAGAGGGCAATCAAGGCCCAGGTTCTAGCATATTTTATTCAGAAAGGCACTGGGGTCGAGGTCGAAGCAAGAGGAAAGTGGTAGATATTTGTAGACAGTTCGGTCTCCAAAGGTGATGCAAGCTTAGGAATCGTGTTAATTTCACCAAAAGATGACAATATGGAGTTTGCAATAAAGTCGGAGGTTAAAGTCTCGAACAACAAAGCTAAGTACGAGGCCTTGTTGAAAGGATTGCGGGTGGCACTGACGGGAGGAGCTAGAGAGGTCCAAGTTCACTCTGATTCGCAACTTGTGGTCGGTCTGTTGCAAGGAGGTTTCGAGTGAAGGAGGATCGACTGCAAAAATATGTGGATGAGGTCAAAACGTTGTAGAGGAATATAGTTGATTCGAACTAATTTAGATCCCGAGAGGTGAAAATGGCCGAGCTGACTTGTTGTAGAAAAAAGCCCAAAGCATGGTCAATTGCAAGAGTAAGAGTGTTACTTTGCTGAATATGGAGAAGAGTACGGTCGATATGGCAGAGATTGTCTAAGTCGAAGATTGGAGAGCTTCCATCTTGCAGAAGTTAAGAAAAGGGAACTTAAAGCACATCAAAAGGTTTTTTTTTAGCAAGGTGGGATCCTTTACAAAAGGTCGTATTCAGGGCTGCATTTGAGGTGTGTGACTGAAGAAGAAGAAAAGTACGTGCTAAAGGAGATTCACGAGGGATATTGCAACAACCATAACAAGGTCGGAGAGTTGGTGGCCAAAATCTTGCGAGTTGGATACTTTTGACCGACCTCGCGAGCAGATGCGGTAACAATGGTGAAAAAGTGCTTGCAGTCTCAAATGCATGGACCACTCAATCCATCAACGGCGGAGATGATGACCACAATGAGCATCCCGATCCCATTTGTTCAGTGGGGCATCACCCTGGTGGGACCTATGCCATAAGGTTTGGGTCAGAGGAAGTTCTTGATCGTGGTTGTTGACTATTTCATGAAGTGGGTCGAGGCCGAGCAGTTGGCCAAAATCACGTAAGATAAAGTGGTACATTTTTTGTATAACAATATTTGTTATAGGTTTGGAGTGCCAAAAGTGTTGGTTTCAGATAATGGAACTCAGTTAAATAGCAAACAGATTCGAGCTTAGTGCGAGGCTATAAAGATCAAGCAACATTTTTCCTCAGTAGCTCATTTGCAAACCAATGGGCCGGTCGAAGTCACAAACAAGATTATTCTACATGGGTTAAAGGCTAGGCTGGAGAAGGCTTCGGAGGCGTGGGCCGATGAGTTTACTGTGCTTTGGTCATATAGGACCACCTCGAGGTTGACAACAGGCAAAACCCCGTTTAGTTTGGCATATGGCATGGAGACGTTATTACCCATGGGTATTGAGCTGGGCACGTACAATCAAGAGCATAACGAAGAGTTAGTTCGAGCAGCCTTAGACACAATCGAGGAGCTAAGGGAGCAGGCGTCGACCAAAGTGGCAGTTTACAAACAGCGAATGCAGGCTGCACATGACAAGAAGTTCAAAGTTCGACGATTTCAGGTGGGTAACTTTGTCTGGAAAAAGATCGACGTCCTTAAGCATGTGCGCAAGTTCGAGCCATTTTCAATGATGTGCGAATAGCAGCCATTCTTCTGCACCAACATTCCAGAAAACCAGTAACATATGACGATTCAGACATGCCGTAACCTATGATGTTCATTGATGTGATATTCCAAGAACGAAATCGACAATTTTAGAAATTAGGGTTCTTGAGGATTGGGGATATGAGGATTTGGGTTTTTAGGGCTTTTAAGCATTCTAAATTGATTTTGAGATAGCGTGCAACTCGTTTTTTTATTTTAATTTCTCTCCTAATCCACGTGTCTTGACACGTGGATATATTTTGTTTTTCATTTAATTTAGGGTCGACAGTTGTCAATAAGGGTGCCACTAGGGATCTCAGGCTTCACATAGGCTTAAATGAGCCGTTAAATCCTATCACGTGTGTGATTTCAGCCTAATAAATGTTCCACGAGTCACGTATTTGTATCCTTTTTTAAACATAGATGATTAAATTCAAATCGGCCATTCGAATAAGAGTAAAATAATCAAAAGGGCAAACATACAAAAAAATGCAATTTTTCTTAACTAAAAAATACTAGTACAACATTCATGTATTACATGGGTGGGGACGGTGCCTCATCCCAGACCGTTCATAGACGGATTCATAAAAGTGGGATGGGTATCCGGACAAGTCAAATCCAGGACCGTCCCGGCCGGCGCCCACCCCTACCATAAATAATCAACATATTATAGATAATCCAAACCTAAATATATTTGGATTAGAAGTAAACTAAATCTACTCAAGCGTAATAACGAAACATGTATTTTTGCCACATAGGATCCCGAAGCATGCGAGCCTGCCACATAGGCTCAGCACGTTCTCAATTAATATATACGGGGTGATTGTTTTCAATTAAAAAGACATCCTTAGGAGGCGCTTATTTATGGAATAATTTGTTCAAAATGAGTTGTTTTGGTTAACTATAGTTAATTGTGAAAAAAGTGCTATAGTTAGTTGTTAGTGGAATTTTAAGAATGTATCAAAATAATATTTAAAATAAAATGAATAAAATTGATTTGATGTAAAAGTAGAAGATAAATGATGGGAAATGATAGGTGGTTAAAATTATGTGGATGAATAGTGAATTAAAATTGATGTAATGTGTAAGAATGATTGGTTTGTATTTGAGTTGGGTTAGTTGAGTTAGATTTTGAGTATGAATTGGATTCAAATAATTTGTAATGCCCTTAGTTCTTTCCACTTTAATTCGAAGTATACATTTGTGGATGCTCCGGCTGACGACGCTCCACTGGTGGCGTCAAGGACACGGAAGCCTAGAAACCCTGAAGCCAATAGCCACCACGGGTAACGCCGTCGCGAGTCGCCGCCGCAGCCGGTCTCCGGCGATGGCCACTAACACCAGGAAACCTCTCTCCACCAGAGCCCCTGCCGTCGTCTCAGCCTCTCCGCCTGCGGCGGATGAATCTTTCAATTTCTCCTCCAATTCGACGGTGCCGAGGCTCCGTGTCTCCGGAGATCAGCTGCGTCACTGCTCAGAGGCTCTCGAGAGCTTCAAAGCCAAGAGGTTCGGTTCTCCTCAGACGATTCATCAGGAGTTCCAGATCTTGCAGGTATAGAAAATGGTTGTTGGCCGTGGATGTTAGCTTCGCCATCTTTTCTACTTATGTTTCTTTCTTTATTTCTTTTCATCACTATGTCTATGAGAATTGAGAGTCAGATGATGTTGTGTAGGTTTGTTTTGTTATTGTTTTGGTGTTTGGTAGTTTAGGGATAAACTTCTTGAATCTTCAGTGATTGAGGTGAAGATTTTAATGCGAGAGATTTTGGATGCTTTAAGCCTGCCATTTTACGGGTATTGGCGAAGTTCTTTATTTGCTGATCAAATTGACATTTGGTAACTTTAGAATCTGTAACTCGGTTCCTTGTAGCTTGTCTGATCTCATTACTAAACATACCAAAAATGCATTAACTGTTTCCGCTCACTTTTGTTAGCATGTCCATACTTCCATTTCTGTATGCATTATACTGTTGTAAATAACAGAGTTGCATTTGTTTTATATTCTAGTGGTTTTGAGGTACTTCCTTCTTTATTTTGAGTTGACTATAACGCGTGCAGTATGTTTGTAACCCTGGTTTTTGAATTATGTGATGCATCTTGGGTAACTATTTTCTGTTTGGAGTGATTTATAAAGTTGAGTTTCTACATTGTAGGAAAATAGGATGACAGCTTCAGAGATGAGGAATAGATGTACCGTGGCTCTCAATGGCGTGAATTACTCCAAGAACCGTTATACAGACGTTTTGCCATGTATATTTCTCGTCAGTAGAAACAGATTTGCACTTGTACCTTTCTCACAATTTTAGTTTCATGTTTTGGTAAGAGAGACCTTAAAGATTGGAATATCTCCAAGGATTTAGCGGTGGATAGGAGCGCTTGGAGGCTAGCAATCAACGTGCCAGAACCGTGACTTTTGCTCCTTTCTCTTTTGCTGCAATCTCTTCCTCTTGTTTTGAGCCCTTTTTTGTGTTTTCTCTTACCATTGGTTCTCTTGGGTTTCATCTCTAGCCTACCCAACTTTCTTGGGACTAAAAGGCTATGTTGTTGTTGTTGTTGTTGTTGTTGTTTTGGTAATGTTGTTCATTAATTTCATTGCTGCAGTTAATGATAACAGGGTGATCTTGAAACAATGTGCGGATTACAGATCGTCAGCTGGTGGATATATCAATGCAAGCTTGATCATGGTTAGAGTTTTAACCTTCTCATTTTTACATACTACATGAAAGCAGATGTATATAATTCATATATATCCACTCAGATAATTTCTTCTTCTTCTTTTTTTTTTTTTTCAATTGTAGACTTCTAAAAATGTATCTGGGTTTATTGCGACTCAAGGTCCGCTTTCACACACTTCTGAGGATTTTTGGGAAATGATACTCCAGTATCGCTGCCCTGTAATAATTATGCTCACTCGCTTGATTGACAATTACCATGTAAGCAGTTAGATCCTTTTCATTTCTAAGCAATAAATAAGAATTTGGTGGTGGTAAGCAAAATCTAGTGCTCTATGTAGTCATGTATGGTTTCAATTGCTAGTGTTTGTTCTCTCTCTACAGATAGTGTTGATTGGTTTGGCATCGTCTTATTTGCTTAGTTTCCTTATTTGCTGGAAATTTGAATTAAGTCTTTCAAGGGCCATTACTTGTTTGCATAAGGTTATAATATTCTTTTGTAGATATGCTCTGAATTGATTCTAAATGCTCATGACTGGCATATTTCTTTTGAAGCTGAGTGCAGACAGTGAAGTGTGTAGATTATTTCCAAGCAGAGGATGGACCTAGAGAGTTTGGCAACACATGCATTTCCACAAAGTGGATACAAACACTGGACAACTCATTGATATTGCGATGCTTAGAAGTTAAACACAAAGAGGTGAGACTATTGTCTAATATTTACATCAACCACAATTGTCAAACACTTAAAAGTAGACTTATTTGGATTCAAATCATAGATAAATAATCGAACAATCATAGATCACATTGCCTACTTAGAATGTTATGCAAGATTCAAGCAGATTGTTGTGGACTAATGATTGGACAACTAGAGGTTTCTGCATTATATATGAATATAAGTAATGTATCACTTTCATCTGCAAGCAAAATATCCATTTTCTTCCCTAACGTTAAGCATTGGACCTTTCCTGAAAATATATGATGCAAGCATTTGTCTTTATTTTGCAGCCAGAGGAACCCCCGTTTTCTGTTTTGCACGTTCAGTATCCTGAATGGCCTGATCATGGAGTTCCGATAGACACTTTTGCTGTTCGTGAAATCTATAAGAGAATATCTAATGTGCCGCCCAATCTCGGGCCTATTGTTGTTCACTGCAGGTTTGCCTTTTGATTGTGAGTTGAAGTAATCATAGAAAGTAATATTTATAGTCTAACCTTTTTTTCTTTCACAGCGCTGGTATTGGTAGGACGGGAACATATTGCGTTATCCACAATACAATCCAGAGGGTTCTTATGGGTGACATGACTGCTTTGGACCTTGTTAATACCATAACCAGTTTTAGGTCACAGCGTATTGGAATGGTGCAAACTATGGTACTGTATTCTTGATACTTCATAATTCTTAAACTACTTATTCTTTCTTTTTTATATAGGGTTGCTATATTATAAATTCTTGGGGATATAAATTTCCAATTTCAAATTGTTATGAGTTATTATATTTTGTCTGCATTCATTACTTAAGGTACGTTTTGAAAGTAACATTTGACTTTATCCACACATTGTATCTTGCAGGAGCAATACCTGTTCTGCTATGATGCAATTATCGATGAACTCGAGGACCTCACTGCAGATGGAAAGACTCAGGGCAGTTTATGAGGATATTTTCTCATGAACTCGGCTCTCCAGTATTCTCCTTTTATATTATTAGTACAGGAATGTAATTCATTCAAGTCCCCTCTTTACTAGAATTTGGAGAAAAGACATTCTCTGGTTGAATAACGATTCTCTAGGAGCCGTTAAAGCTAAGTAAGAGTATGTCGTGGTATTTTCGGATTTATGATTGATGCTCAAATTGTGTAAATTGGTGGAAGTTCTCTTAAAAATTTGGAATCTTTTGACAGAGATGTTGTTGATGTTCATGTCTTAATGCTTAACTCGAAATTGTTGATCGTGTTTTGCCGTTGTATTTACATCATGTAGTGTTCCTGAATGCTAGTATCTTCAGAATGTTCACTTACTATAGTGTGCTCAGGAATTTTGCTTATCTAAAGTTGTGGTGAAATCAGTGGCTGGCTGTAACTAAGTTTCAATTTTGGAAAACTCAATGACGAAAGAAAAAACGAGAATTAACACATTGGTTTACGGCTTCTTTTCTGGTCGATGTGAAGTGTAAACACAACTCCCTTCGCTATGAAATTTTCTGCCTACGCAGTAAAATGTTATGGCCAAAAATACTCTTCTTTCATTTTTCATAGTTTCAGTTGCTCTTCATAGTTTATATTAACCAAGCCAGAGTTGTAATCAATCAAATCATTATGAGAACAGTACAACACCGAGAATAACTGTAGAAATCATCTTGTCAGATGGAGTAATTTTACTACCTAATGTGACCTTAGTTCTCCTAACTGCTGTTTCTTCATATGATAAAACACATAACATGAGGAAATCGAAGAACAAGGCCAAAATATAATTCATCCAAAAATAGACTTTCATCGTGAAAAATCCCCTCGTGCAGAAGACATACCAAGCTCACTCCTCTTTACTATGAGCTGTTCTTGCACGATGCCTGAGCTCAGCCCTTTTCCATCGTACAATCAGATAACACAGTGAAAACAAAGTGTTCACCTATAGACAAAACAAAAGTGCCAATGAGGAGAGCAAACAATCAATTAATTAATAAATAGAAAAAGACAAATAAAAGAAAGGCAAATCACTAACAAGGATTAGAATCGCGATCACCAATAGCGGCCCAGACCATAGTATAGAGAGAAACAACCCGTTAGAGTCGAAATAGTTCTGGCCTGCAAAGCTTCTCCAGTTTCCGGCCAAAAACTGGTTAAGCAACTCGGCAAGATAAACTCCTCCAACTGCACCATTAAACTGCATTAATTAAGATTGATTCATGCAATACAAGTGCAAACTTACATATGTTTTTTATTCACACCCTTTGTTTCATAAAAACAAAAAATAGCCAAGTCTTTACTGAGTTTTTGAATATTGTACTTTAAGCAAGTAACAAATAATTGTAGGAGAGAAGACAGTTATAGAGAGGAAGCATACGGGCAAGAAGGAACAAACACATCTGGAAATTGATGTTCTTTCTTGACAAGAAAGTAACTAATAGAAGCAACACATGGAAGGAAACGAGACATATCAGCCAAGGTTCCTGCAGAATACGAAAGCTCAAAGATGAGATACAAGAAAAATATTTTCTAATGTTTATCATGTATCTTCCACTTCAGGTTTTCATTCTAAATTCAACATTACATTGCAGACACAATTTACATTCAAATCAGTCTCGATTGAGTGGATTCAAAAGCAAATATGATGTATGAAACAATTTAGCCTTAATTTTAAGAATCTAATATATTATCTCCAAATTTGCATCCGACTTCCAACATTTCTATGTCCAGAACCACGAGTAAAACAGAAGTTTGAGTTAGGAACCCTTCTGAAATGAGTTTGCCGTTCAATGCTCATCTAGAATGAGCACGTGAATCCTTAAAGAAATATACCAGTAGCATCAAACTAGAAATGGTTTTGGAGTGGCTAGATCGAAGTACAAAAACTATAGCATGTTTAAATACTGTGCAGAAGGAACACAATACGGAAAGTTGCAAAGTTAATAGACATCCACACGAGCTCTAATGTCTTAAAATACAAGTTAAGGTTTGTTCTAAGAATGGCAGCCAGATTAATTACAGAAACAGCATTTTCTCCATCAAAGCATCACCCACGTGAAATCGTAAACACAGGCGTTTACATTGTAAGAAACACTCCACCATCTATTACATCAAAATCAAATCCATTTACTTCTATACTAACAACCTACCCTCACTTTCACAAGATTGCATCTTTCAAAGGTGGTGAGGAAATAAAATGGGCAATCAAATAGAACTCTGACTCAACATTCATCACTATACATACAAAATACTCTAGAAAGAAAAGAGACCAAGCCAACACAAACATACATATGGAACAGCAACACAAGAAAATCAACTCCCATGAAACAACACATTGCAATCAAATCCCACGAAGGGAAAAGCAAATGAGAGAACACACACGTATGAGTGAAATTAAGTACAATTACCTTCCAATCAATGGCATGGAAGAAACCCATAAAGCTTTCGTAAGCGGGTTTGAGTCCAGTTCGGAGCTCCGCCGAGAGCTTTTCAACCAGATCTGCCATTTGATCCATATGGGCATTGAAAGCAGATTGCAGGTCCTCCATTGTCTCCGTTTATTTTTTTACGCAAATCCCTCGAAATTTCGAAACAAGGGTTAGCGCAGAAGTTAATTAAGAACCGATCAAANTGCCGTGAGTTCAAAATCAACTTAGATGTATATCAATTAGAACTTTTTTATTAACTAAAAAGTATGCTAATATTCAATTAAGACTTAAAGACTTTTTATAAATTTATATATAAATTATAAATTTATAATTTTAGCTTATTATATTAATGCAATAGCCTACAAAAATGCTAGGATTGCTATAAGTAAGGTGACTCTATACTGAACTCGAGCACTTCTTGACCACGGATCTCAAACCTACGGTGGCTAGACCATCGATTTCACCACTTACATTTGATGTCTTAGATTGGTGGTAAAAAAATCAATACCACTTATCATGTTTCATGCTTGATGGCCAAGAAAATTTTTGTTGTCACAACCTCAACTGTGGCGGTTGAACAAGCATTTAGCGAGGGAGGATATACTCTAAACGTACGACATCGAGGTTAATACCACAAAACTTAGAGGCTCAAATATTGTTTAGTGATTGGAAGAAGGCTGAAAGAAAGGCACAAACGACCATGCAAATTGTAGAGAATGATGAAGAGTCAAATGATTTTAGGACTAGTATTGGAACTGGTAGAACCGAAGACGACGACGACTACGTTTACTAGATCGTTCGACGCATCATGCCATCATTTTTCATCAAGATAAGTAAGGTAACCGAACTCCGGAAACTTTGATTCCCAAGGTAAGAGATATATAGCCAACTTTATTGACATATTATAAGTTAAAATATTATTTTTTAATAAAAAATATTTCAACTTAATTAATATTTTAAATTATAATATGTCAACTAACACTAAATCCAAATTTTTTATCCCCCTCCAATTCTTATAAGTTAAAAAAATAAAATCCCGTCAGTTTGGCCCGAAGCCCTTAGATTTTCTCGGGCCCATTCTGATTCAACAAAAAGTTCAAATTGAACCGCCATTCCAAACTAGTCCAGCCCGTTGTCTACTTGCATCTAAACGGTCCACGAGAAATTTACTAAAATTTAAAGCTTATTAGTTTAAGAAAAAAAAAATATATAGGGCTCAATATTTAGGAGTTGGAACCAACGTCAATAAATCTAGTCGAGACTGAAAAATCAAGCCGAATCATACAATTTAGTGTGATACGGTGCGGTTTTTAAGGTCAAAAGTTATTGATTCAATCTCGATTTTCTCCTACACTACAATGTGGTCCAGATATTATTTTTCATATGTTCGAATTTTGATTTTGTTCGATTCACTGTTGTTTTGCACCAAAGTGCAGTAAAGTAAATATAAATAAATAGGAAAATTGAGGCAATGGAGCACCGTGTATTTTGATGCGGTTGGATTCATATATTTTAGTTGTAAAAAAAATCGATTCAATTTTTCCCTTACTAGTTGCACTCAAATGGAAGTACCCTTTAAACTATTTTAGCTAACTTTGCTATTGACGAGTCTTGTATATCATTTTAAATGAAATTTTAAAAAAATTCAAATTTTTTAATCTATTTCACTTTGTTTTTTTTTTTTTCTTTTTTTAAAAAAAAAAACATCAAACGTAGTCCAATTTTTTTGTCTCTATTTTTATACTACACAATTTTTTTTAAAAAAAATCGTTTATCCACCAAATATTGATTTGAATTTTCAAATGAAATATTCGATCCAACAAATAAAGTTAGAGATGTAGGTTTGTAATGCAATTATTTTAACTTTCAAATATAGATGATAGGATATCAATGCGAAATAAGATGGCTAGACGAGAAAACAAGAGACTACAGTTGCAAAATAGATACCTTTTTCTTTTTCTTTTATTCTTTAAATCATATTTGTCCAATATGAGCATCTTATTTTTCGAAAAGAGATGACAAGGCTTAATTAATTTTCATAATACGATGAAAAGACATCACATGCATGTTGGAGTCTCAAGCCTTAGTAGATGCTATCAACAGAAAATATATAATTCATGGGATGGAGTCAACATAAATATAAGTGCTCTAAAAATATGATACTATAAGTAAGTATGACACCATAAATATATATTTTTATTATTAAAAATATGACCGAGTCACCACACCTAACAATTAGACTGTCTCATACAAACATTTGTTTTTCTTATAGTGCTCAAAATGGTATATCAAGCAGAGCTGTTTTCTTGATGCTAATTATCTCATAACTCAGACATTATAATCCAGGTTTTCATTTTTGACTTTGTTGTGTTAGATAAATGTGGCCAAGATTATGTCTATGACGAGTGTTGTTATAAGATACAAGGATTATTGCTATTCCTGTTGCTATGAACAAGGAACTCCCCCTCCTGCACGTGGTTAACCACAAAAGCCGATCAATAAACCATAATAAAAACTATACATAAATATCCTCTTGTGATGTCATTGTGTAATAATAAAAAGTATGCAGTGACTTTCAACTCCATGTTTTCTTGATTTTTGCTGCTGATGAGACCCTTTTCAGTATATTTGCTAAAAACGAAAACAATTTAGAAACTCGTTAGACTTCAAAATGCCTCTTACAGCCTCATATCTATTGAAATTTTTTGTTACGATTATGTCTCCACAGAGCCGAGTTTGGACTAGTCGATACAAATTTCATGAATGTATATCCTTCAGTACAAGTTAAAGAAATTTCACTTGTGGAATAAAATTTCTAACCGTAGTATCATATCTCCTGTTGTTGGGAACGTATGAGTCGAGATCTAATGTTTCAATCAGAACCAATATCCACTCCTTTGCTCTTTAGGAATCCCTTGGCTTCAGCAATATCCTACAGCAGAAAAACCGAAACGTCTATAAATGGATACGTCACCAAAAGAGAGCTTAATAAGTTGTACAAATTTGAAGCTTCACCCGAAGAAAAAAAAAAAAGAGGAAAAATAATGGGAGGACAGAAAGAAAAAAAGAACACTGTGAAGATACCTCTTGTAATAGAATTGCATCGTTCGGGCAGGTAGGAAATCTCATGAGACCAACTCCAACCATTAGTAGACCATAACACCCAAGTGATACAATGAAGTAGAGAGGTAGCTGAAAGAAAACAGAGAAAAAGGGACTCTAACTGAGAAGGGATATAATATTTTGGATATGCACACACACACACAAACATAGCTCTCTCTCTCTCTCTCTCTCTCTCTCTCTCTCTCTCTCTATATATATATATATATATATATATATATATATATATGCTTACCAACCAAGTGTAGCTCTGTGGAAGTACCGATGCTTGTAACAGGCTAATCCAGAAAGCTGATAGAGCTACCAACAAAGCCATAATCTTTACTATGTGCTTCATTTGATCTTTTCTCCACAAAGATAGATACTTTAAGTTCAATCTCCAAGGTAGTGGAAGTTACCCTTACATACATTAAAGCAAAACTAGATTAGTTTTTTTTTACATGGAACGAATTTCATTCAATAACATCAATGGTTAGGAGACCAATGCACGGCCCACAGTGAAAACCAATGCAAGATTTATTTTAAGTTACAGATTTGACAGTAAAGAAGTAAGAAAGTGAAGAAAAATGTATAAACTGGAAGCTCATTGAACAAACTTCCTCGTATAATATGAATTATAAACATTCTTTAAGTTTCAAAAGGCAACACAAGGAACGAATTTCATTCAACAATGTCAATGGTCAAGATATTAATGCACGACCTATAGTGACCTTGAATCCTATTTATACTGCCATCAGTTGGAATAGGTATGTTAATTTTTTTCACGTCCCTTCAGAAATGTGAAAGGAGGGAATCAAAGCCCTTGCGCAATATTCCAATCATCATATGGCAGATCAAGAAACTTCAAAGGAAGGGCATTATACAGGTTTTTATATGAATAAGATCCCCTCACTAATTAGCACATCTAACAAAAAGAATACGATCAAGATAACAGACAAGGGTAATCACAACTTAGCTTAACCTATGTAGCACTCCACTATTTCACGGTTTCCTTAATTTTTACAAATTGGCAGGCAAGAAGTAAAAAAGCCGAAGTAAAGTATGCAAACTGGTAGCTCACTGAACAATCTGCCCCGTATCAAATGAATTATAAAAACATTTTTTTTTTTTTTTACTTTCAAAAGGCAACACAAGGAATGAATTTCATTCAACAATGTCAATGGTTAAGATATTAATGCACGACCAATAGCAATCCCAAATCCTATTTATACTGCCATCAGAAGGAGCAGGTCTGCTAATTTTTTTCACGTCCCTTCCAGAAATATGAATGGACTGAATCAAAGCCCTTGCGCAATATACCAATCATCATATGGCAGATCAAGAAACTTTAAATGAAGAATATTTTACAGGTTATTATACAAATAAGGTGTCTTCCCTAATTAGCTCATCTAACAAAAAGAATACCATCCAGATAAAGGACAAAGATCACAATCTGGCTTAACCTGTGTAACACTCAACCATTTGACCAGGGAAACCAATGCAAGATTTATTTTAACAAATTGAACTAACCGAGAAGGCTAAAATACATAAACTCGTAGCTCACTGAACTTTTTAGCACTGAAAACCCATTGTATACTGATCTCAGAATCTGTCAATACATAATACTACTACTACTACTACTAATAATAATAATAATAATAATAATAATAATAATAAAGGACAAAATAACAACAGACTCATAATTAGCTTTTGCTAAACTCCTCCCCCGCAACAATATCATTTGGGTAAAGAAAACAGGTATACCTGATTGGATATTTCGAAATTAGGCGATGGATATGGAAAATTTGATTGAAATGCGGTTGAGAAAGGCCTGAACGAGACGGCTATAGATAATCTACTTGTATATCTTGTTAGTGGCGGCGGCCTATCGCGGCGGAGGGAGATCGGCTCGAGTGTGGTGTTCGTGTTGTGAGGTAGGGTTTACTGAGAGAGAAAATACATGTACTTTTTATTATCGATCGTCTCGATTACAAAAATAGTAAAATACGCGTTGCTTGGATATCTCCTAGCCCAGTACTCAACGGACTTGAGTATAGTTAGAGTTAATTAATTTATTAATCTCGAAAGACAATATTGGAGTATTAGATTAGATTGATCATATGTTGTTGACTTGTTGTGTAAGACTAACATCGTTTTTATGTTATATACATTAGTAAAATACTCTTGTATTATATGTCACGTGTTCATATGTTGTGTAAGATTAACATTCATGTAATTCTCATGACATATGTTCCACAGTTTAATCTATATCGTTTAATAATGATATATGTGATTATTGATAGTTTAGTGGTGTATACAATTGATTTAATTTTATATTGTGTGATTAATAGACTAGATTGTTCAAGTTACTACACCATATTTTGAGTTTATAAGGTATAATGTATTATCAAGATACATATTTAATCCAGTGGGTGTTTAGCCAAATTAGATGATCAAATTATTTTACGTATATATTGACTAAGGAATTTAATTTAAATTGTGAAATGATTAAATGTGGACACCCGATAATGTTATTATTTGATGACTAATAAATAATAACTAGTACAGAACCCGTGCGATGCACGAGTGCACAATTTTAAGGCTATTTATCTAGGCTTATAATTATATACATGAATAAAGAAAAATGTACGGGATATATATAGTACGTGACCCGTGCAAAGCACGTGATATATTTATTTGGAGAATATTATATTATAAGATGCAATATTCAATAAAAGTTTATAATACGCGAGAAAATTGTACAATATTCAATAAAAGTTTTATAATATTCAAGTGGAGTCTTAAAGTCTCTTGTACATTAAGACTACTGACAAAATAATATTTTAATCAATGAGTTTCCTTTCCTTGTAGCCAAATTGTGGATGTGATTTGAGGAGTACAACAAATCGATATATAGTTGACTTGCTTTTTTTCATTGTAGTTTTTTTCTTTTTTTTTTATAATAAATTTAAAGATATTCTAAAATATAGCAAAAATTAATTTTTTTATTACAATTAGGAATTTTACTAAATATAGACTCTCAATCTATGGTGTTAATCAACGTTTACGTCTAAAAAACAATAGAGTTATTATAAGTTTTTTTCTACATCTTTTAAAACATTAAATATGAGCATGTTAGGGCTAGCTTGTAAAATAATTAATATATTATCTCACTAAAACATTTATACTAATAAAAATTTGATTTTAGCATATAAATTTATCTCTTGATATAAGAGAAAGTAACAGTTTTACTTATTGTTGTTCACCATATAATATTTAATTATTATTTTATGATATAATAAAAAAGGAATATTGTTAAATAGTGTAGTAGAATTGTTATAAAATTATATGATTTTTTTTTTTACAATATGGATTTAATATTTTTTTATGATTTGATAATATAAACAAATTTATACCTAACTTTGACAAATAAAACAAATAAGTACTTTAGTAAGTATTTAATGTATATACTAAATAGGAATATATTTGGTATAATCAAATACCAAATATAATCAAATAAGTCAAAGTGTACATTTTTATTTGGTATTTGATTTTTTTATTATTAAAATCTTTTTATTATACTTACCTTTTTAAAATAAAACAAATAAATAAATCAATTAAATAAATAAAATATTATAATACCAAAATAGTAATGACATTTAATGCAGTTGACTTTTTTAAATAGTAAATGTAGTAAATAGAATCTCCTTTCATATAAGTATAGATATAATATTATATTATGTTGCTCAAAATAGTAATGCATTTATTGCATTGACTTTTCAACTTACTAAATTTCGTAAATGGTACACCTTATTATATAAGTATAGATTTTAAACTTAAGTGACCTAACTAATGAATAATTTGAGTCAAAATTATTTATGGGTGAATCATGATAAATATAAAGGGTCCTTAAAATTCTTTATTAAACAGTTCGGCCTCCACTACGCTATTCGTCATATTAGTTTCTTCATTACGTCACAAGAAAGAAGAGAAAAGAGTTGCGGTTTTTGGAAATTCTCCAAATCTCAAATTTATTTTCAAATGCAATCAATTAAGATAGAATCTATCAAGTACGCTTCTCCTACTCAATTTTAATTCTTGATTATTCGATAAATTTTAATTCTTGAGATAGAATCTATCAAGTAGGCTTCTCCTACTCAATTTTAATTCTTGATTATTCGATAAATTTTAATTCTTGATTATTCGATATTGACGCTCCTGAGATAAAAGCAGTTTCACATAAGGTTAATCCAAGTTCAAGCGGGGTCCCACAGTGCACCCGATGTCCGAATGCGTTGATTACGAAGATATCCTATGTTTTGATTTCGGATGGTTTGGAGCAAAAAAAAGGTTGTTTTTCGTGGTGCAAGTTAACAAACAAATGGTGGACCTGCGAAGATTATGTTATAAACTGCTTCCCAGAGGCATTGAGAAGGAAGCTGAAAGCACAAAAGCAGAGAACAAACCATACATTTGCTCACTATCTTCTCAACATATATATCACAACACCAACTTTAAACCGATACTCTGTATTACAACCCAAAATCAGCAAAACCGATTCAGCAGTAAAATTTCTATACCCATCTATATTTCACAAACATGTCAAAACTTACATAATAATAGCTATAATAATCATGTAGAACCCATCGTTTTTTGTTTTTGTTTTTTCCATATCCATCACTGTTTTATGCATCACCTTGCATTTAGCAACATTCGCAGGACACTCTTCATCTTGGGCCTTGTCTCAGGCGAGACACTCACACAAGCCAATGCAACCTTGAGCACTGCCAGCATCTGGCTTCTTACAGCAGACGATGTCCTGCTCACACTCGAATCAAGAATTTGATCCCATTTGCTTTGATCGGCCGAGTTGCTTAACACCCATTTGGCTAGTTCGATCCCTCCACTGACAGCTGGCTTCCCAGTCACAAGTTCCAGAAGAACAATACCGAAACTGTACACATTTCCAGATGCCGTGACTCTCATGGTGTACGCGTATTCTGAAATCGGAAATCACCAACACTCAAATAATTACAAAACATTCTTTCTAATCAAACTAGGACAGTGTAGGTATGAAAAACGTGGTACCTGGGGGAATATAACCAACTGAACCTGCAATGGTAGAAAGGCTGCTCATGCCTTTTGTGGGATCAATCACCTTGCAGAGCTCGATATCTCCAATCTGAGGCTCGTTCATCGACCTCAGCATTATGCCTTTGCTCGAAAGATCGAGTAGTAGGATTGGGCCCGAGTTGCAGTCATGTAAAAAGGCCAAACCTTGAGAAACCCCAATAGCCACACTGTACCGGCTAGCCCAATCCAATCGACTCCCTGCCCCACAGTGAAGGACGTCATACAGAGTTCCCTCAGGGGCAAAATCGTAAAAAAGGTACGCGCTGTCTGCCGTCAGGACATACGCGAGTGGGACCATCACATTTGAGTTGCAGAGCTTCCCGAGAACCTGGAGCTCCAGCCCGAACCTCTCGTGGCTGCCCAGCTGGAATATCTTGTCACTCCAGTTCAGCTTCTTCACGAAATAGCTAGCGCCAGATGGCATAACGGCCTTGTAATAAGTCGAGAACCTCGTCCTCAGTTTTGGATTCGCGTTGTTGTCCGAGACCAACTCCATTGCCCGGTTAAAATCGATGTTCGAACGGTGGATGCTGTTTGCGGTCAGCATTTTGCCATGGATGACCTGTGGGGCCGGAGCTTCTTCTTGCCCGAGATTTTGATGATTTTCATCGTTGATTCTGTTTAATTTTCTCGAGATGAACATGGCAAGGATCACTAGCAAGCCGATTGCCACAGCTGCACTGCAAATCGCGATAATAACATCTGAGGCGAGCGTTTGCCTCTTTCTTCTACTTGGGGTCGGGGGAGAAATATTTGGAGGGGGAAAGGTCAAATTTGTCCCGTTTATGTCGATCTCGACGTGTTTTGAGAAAGTCGAAGGAATCATTCCGGTGAGATTATTGTTCGAGAGCACTAACTTGGTTAAGCTGCTGAGTTGAGTGAGGAAAATCGGTACCTCACCGAAAAATCTATTGTTCGAAAGGTCTAATACTTCGAGTCCGGTCAATCTTGACAGAGTACGAGGAATAGGCCCGGAGAACAAATTAAAGCTCAGGTTTAGAGAAATTTGAAGGTTAGAAGGCAAAGCCGGAATTTGGCCGGAAAGTCGATTATTGCCCAGCTGGAGTTCTATCAGAGACGATAAGCTCCCTATGGAATCCGGCAATGGCCCACTCAGATTATTATCTTGCAAGTACAAGTTTGTGAGGTTTTGCAAACTCGAAATTGACAAAGGGATCGAGCCATTCAAAGCATTGCTGCTCATATTCAGCTTTTGCAACCAACTCAGCAACGTAATATTCGCCGGGATTTCGCCAACTAAATTGTTCATCTGAAGACTCAAAACCTGAAGATTGGCCAGACTACCCAACTCCGGAGGAAGCAGGCCCGTGAGCCCGTTCTGAGACAAATCCAATAGTGCCAGCAGTCTGCACAAGCCCAATTCGGAAGGTATTGGCCCGGTTAAGCTGTTATTACCCAGCTCCAAGTAGATCAGCCGCGCAAGATTGCTAAACGGGCCTGCCGGAATCGACCCGTTTATGGAATTGCTTCCTAATCTCAGTCGGAAAACACTGGTCGAGATGTTCGGAGGTATGGGCCCGGAAATCCCATTGTTAGTCAAGTCCACCGACTGCAAATTGGGCCCGGAGAGCAAATCGGGCGGGAGAGTCCCTGTCAGCTTGTTGAAACTGAGGTCCAAGCTCGTAAGATACGAAGTAAGCCCGGATGGAATGGGCCCACTAAAGCTGTTCTGATTGGCGGCAAATCTCCAGAGGGCCCGCAGGCCCGAAATCGACCCAGGAATCTCGCCCGTCAGGTTATTGATCGATAGCACCAGGGTTTGCAGCCTACTGAGTGTTCCTAATTCCTCGGGAATCGGGCCCGAGAGATTGTTGATGCTCAAATCGACAAGAGTTAGATTTAGGTATCTCGTGATGTTTGGAGGGATTTGGCCTTGGAAATTATTGCAAGAGAGCTGGAGCTCTTCTAAGAGATTGGCCCGGCCAAGGCTCGTCGGGACACGACCTGTGAACCTATTGTAGCTAAGGTTTAAGCTTCTGAGTGAAATTAATTCGTCCAATTGTGAGTTCACTTCACCAGTTAACGAATTGTGAGAAAAGTCTACGATTTCAAGCTCGGTAAATCCGGGCCCGAAAGCGGGTAACGGGCCGTCGAGTCTATTCCTACTGAAATTCAAGGACCTTAACAAACTGGGCTGCTGGCCGCAGGGCTCGAAAAACGCGTTGGGTATAGAGGTAAGGCGATTATTGGACACATCAAGAGATTCTAAACTAGGGAAACTGCACATATATGTAAGGAACTCAGAGGTGGAGAGGAAAAACGAGCGGAAAGAGAGGCCTCTTACCGAGGAATGGTCGGGCCCGCAATCGATTCCTCCCCAAGAACAAGGATTCGAGTCCCTTGTGACGTTGTTCCATACAAATAGAGGGCCTGTGTTGTTCTGAAAGATGTCGTAGATTCTGGTCAGGACAGAAAGCTGATCAGGGGGCAGCTGGGATGAAGCCAAGTTCAGGTGGAGCAAATACACAAACAGGTAAACTGCAACTCGTGAAAATCTCCCCATTG